TAACTAAATTTTGGTAACCAGCTATTTTAGTAGGATTTGGGGTTTGGGTCATTTTTAATAAACTAGTAAATGCAATTTGTTAACTAAATTTCAAACAACATTTACTAAGCACTTAATTATATACACTTGCATTATTAATGCACATTTATAACATCAACAACAACAAAAAGTGAATTACAACTGTGAACTTATATACTTGACAATATAAAATCATTAGAAAAAAAATAAATAACTCCTTATATATTACCAAAGAGAGAATTTTTTTTTTGGAAGCGCTATATTGCTGAGATGTTTAGAGACACAATCTAACTAAGCATAATAAACAGTGATCGTTTTTATTTATATATATTGTTAAATTCATTTAAAATACTATAACTAATTTCACATACAAATTGACTAATTGGCATGGAGAGAACTTACCTATACTGATCTTCATTATGAATGTCGGTGAACCTCTAATGACTCGGTCTACTCTCGTTCTGTTGTATTTTTTTGATCTTGTATACAATACTTTTTTTTGATAAAACTATTGATAAATTCCTTATAGGTCCTTATAGATGGCCATCGTAAAGCTTTAAATTATGAAAAACAACAGGAATTTTTTTTAGTTAAAACTAAATTTTAAGGTACAAAAATGATGTAGGGGTGCATGTCCGACTCCTGTGAGATGGTCGTGATCGCGAACTCTGTCAATACCAAGGAATTGCACACATACTCCATAATTCATGGCAAAACGAATGATTTCCTCTCCTTCTTGGGTGCATCCCATGGGGACTGTTAATTGTATTTAATTTAACTGCCAACTCCTCCTTCTCCTTTAATATATTTTTCAAAAATTGTTCTACACCATTTGGTCTTCTGTAGACCGTGATAGGTTAGTAACGCTTTCCATCAGGCCCTACGATTACGTAAGCCTATCCGCAGGGTGTATGATGGGGCATTTTTTCCGTATATGAGGCTAAAGGATTAGGTTGACAACTATCAATTTTCTCAAGGAAGGAAACAAAATCTGCATGAATTACTCAATCATCCATAAATGGTTGCAAGATCGGATATATAGTTAATTGCGAAATCACTGAAATTTTATGTTCTTGTGGGGAAAATGGAAATTCGTTATTTTGCTTGCATTTAACAAACACAATTGATGGTCATCTATTAATTTTTCTACTTGCAAGCCGCTTATCAAATTTGATTTCACGACAATTTAAGTGTAACATGCATTTTAGTTTTAATCTTTTTTGTGATATTGATTGGCGCAGCATGTCTTCCTTTGAACTTTGTGCCATTAAATCCTATATTCAATTCAATTCTACTTGCAAGCCGCAAGGATTTGAAGTTAAACTTACCCTAAGTGTCAAGAGTCTTAGGGAAGTGTCTTTAAGTCCGGCTGAATAACTATTTTATCTTTATGCTACTCGGTACATCTTGGTTTCTTCCTTATTGATGATCTTTCTCTTCTTGGCATCCGCACAGCGTTTGAAGGGATTCTGTAGAGAGATCGCGTCCCCTATTCGTAGACCATATTTTTTATCGTTTTAAGATTGACTGTTTGTGAATTTCTAAAGTTTAGAGAAGAACCCCGTACATAAAAGCAGGTCTTCCCCGAAGGAGTGTCTTAGCAGTAGTGCTTTGGACCTCCTAAAACGAGAAATTATGAGATAAGCATAATATTTATTTGGGCGGAGATGACAGTATTTACCCTAAACAAAAGTGAGCAAATGGCCATCCAATTCATCTGTGAAATCTCCAAAAAAAATTTCTAGTGGGGCTTATTATTACCATCTTGGACATAGGTGGTGGAGTCCGTATCATGGTATAGTACGCTCTCGACCAGATTGTCCTTCTCTTCGTCTATCTTAACCCGCGAGAACTCGCACCGGGTATAACATGCCCGATCCATTTTCATTCAAAGTTTTTCTTACTTTCTTCTATTGGAACAGAGCCAGGATTTCGTGTAGCTGTATTCAAGGTCACATTCTTTCACTAGGGGAAAAGCTGGTTTTGTTCTATAAATAGATTTTCAGGAACAGGTGTCGGGGGTATGTCATACCCGTGCTAGTCCTGGCGTCAGTCGGATCATTCCTTCTTTTTCTCTCAGTTTAGTGAATTATGACGCGCTACATGAATTACGACGAAGAAAATGAATATTTTCGACACCTTATAGAGACTGTTTCTAGTGATGATGAAGCTATATCTGACGAAAGTGTTGCCTCTGAGGATGATGAATACTGTAGCAATCACGATTCTTCTAGTGAAATTGAGACAGAAACAGAAGATGAAAGTTCACTGTCAGCAACCGATTTTTATATTGGTAAAGATAAAGTTACAAAATGGCTGAAAAAAAAATACAGTCAAAGTGTTAGGAAGCCTGCAAGGAATATAATTAGTAAGCTTCCTGGTAATACAGCTTATTCAAAACATGTTGCTTCTCCCGTAGATGCATGGAATGTTTTATTCGATAGCAAAATGCTAAATATGATGGTGGAGAACACAAATATTTATATCGAATCAATTCAAGAACGTTTTACTCGAGAGCGAGATGCAAGGAAGACAGATGAAACCGAAATAAAAGCATTTATTGGACTTTTATATTTATGTGGAACTCATAAATCATCACACACTAATTTGAAGGATTTGTATGCCACGGATGGAACCGGGATTGACATATTTCCAAAAACCATGAGTCGCACTCGATTCCTTTTTCTAATGAGATGTCTACGTTTTGACAATATCAATGATCGCCAAAGCAGACGAGAAATAGATAAATTAGCTCCCATCAGAGACTTTTTCGAAACATTTGTCACAAATTGTAAAAATGCATATATTCTTGGAGAATTCGTCACGATTGATGAAAAACTGGAACCTTTTCGAGGAAGATGCGGATTCAGGCAGTATATGCCAAAAAAGCCTGCTAAGTATGGCATCAAGATATTTGCACTAGTTGATTCTAGAGTATTTTATACCTGGAATATGGAGATCTATGCTGGTCAGCAACCCGATGGGCCATTCAAAATAGACTGTAGTTCGAAATCCATTGTGATGCGATTGATGACACCGCTTTTCAATTCTGGACGCAACTTGACAACTGACAACTGGTATACGGGATATGAGCTAGCACAAGAACTTTTGAAAAAAAAAATTACAATTGTTGGGACACTTAGACAAAATAAAAGAGAAATACCGCCCCAGTTTTTGGTGAAAAAGGAATTGTACTCTTCAATCTTTGGATTCCAAAAAGAAACAACTATGGTTTCGTATTCTGCGAAAAAGAATAAAAATGTAGTTATGTTGTCCACAATGCATACAGATGATAAAATAGACGAAACCACGATGGAATTGAAAAAACCAGATATCATCACGTTTTATAATCTCACGAAAGGAGCCGTGGACGTTGTCGACGAAATGGCAGCAGCATACACTACAGCAAGGATATCAAATCGTTGGCCAATGGTTATTTTATTTTCTATGTTAAATGTGGCTGCTATTAATGCCAGAGTGCTGTTGATGTCGACAAAAAATCCTCCCACGCAGTTCAGAAACAGGCGTTTCTTTTTGAAAACACTGGGACTCGTTCTTTCAGAACAACACAGAAAACGTAAGCCTCTACGAAAAACAACTAAACCAAGCACTGAGGAACTGGAAATCACTAACAGTGAGCCGCCTGCTAAAAAAATCAAAGAAACTTATAAACGATGTGCATTTTGTCCATGTAATAAGGACAGAAAATCAAGATTTATATGCCAAAAATGTGAAAAAAGTCTGTGTGTTGAACATCAGTATGTAATTTGTCAAAACTGTCTTTAAACATGTGAGTATGTATTTTTAAACTCAATAAAATTCTTTAATGTATTATTTTGTAATGTTTAATTATGTAAGGCTTGCTTATAAACAGTATTATTTCATATTTAGGTAGCAGAAATGAACTAGGGTATGAGATACCCAGCGCGAGTTCTCGCGTTGGAAAACGGTTGCGTGTTCTCCCGGGTTAAGTCACAGCCTAATTTCTAAATATCCTGTTTTGTCCACATCCTTTTCTTACACCCCCCATGGGTGCTTGCGAGCTGTCGAGCTCGGCTGTGATGAAATCCTTCTTCGCCATGCAGATGTTTTTGAGAAGTATGACTCCAGCGGTATCCCACTCCCGCGTTCCATGAGTTTGGTTACATCTCGAAAGTTTGGTATGAAAATGCCAAATGTGATTTGAAGAAGAGGTCCATAGTCCTCCACTGACGCCTATCCTTTTCAATCATGTGCCAGAAGTTAGTGTGCTGATATTTATAGTTGTTCTTTGTGGCTGTGCCCCTTCGATGT